CACCTAATATTTGACGGATGGAGTATATCTTGAATGAGTTAAATAATTGAGATCTAGAAATTGAAGACTATTATATTGAAAATCATGATATTATAATTGAGTCTACACCACGTTCCACTGGCCCAACGTAATGTGGAGACGGCTCGGCTGATGGGAGAGAAAATTGGCACGGTCATTGAAGTTATGAAGACAAAATTGAGTGAGTGTGGTGATTTTATGCGAGTTAAGATCAGAATCAACATCACAAGAAAACTCAAGCGTGGTATCTATGTGCTTGATGACAACGCCTCCAAACATTGGGTCTCCATCACTTATGAGCGCCTACCGACTTTCTGCTTCTTGTGCGGTGTCATTGGGCACAATGAGTCTAGGTGCCCAGATCGGTATGATGAGAACTTCTCGGACCCTGGCGAGAATATACCGTACGGTGTGTGGATAAAGGCCTCCATAGGCAGAGACGAGGTTAGCTCGGGGCTTCCGCTCCAAGCCATCCAGACTACTACCCCGTCGGAACCCCGGACAACCACCCACCCAAACTTGAGTTCGTCGAGAGAGGTGGGAAACGGCTCTTCTACAAGCTCCCTTGAGAGGGCTGTTATTGGGGGTGATACAGAGAATGTTAGCCCTAACTTGTGGGATGAGACTCAACTAATTACCACGGATATCCAGCTGCATGGGAACAGTGTGGGGCATGGAACGAGTCGACGAATTATCACAGTGGCGAAAAGGGTCGGAAAAAGAAAGCGGATGATTCCATGGTCCTTGATTCTTAGCGGGCCAGCAAGAAAAGTCTTTTAACTCTTTGGGACGAGAACACCTCTTCATCGGCGGAGGCTGCGGCGCAGCCCCGCCGACCGCAATGAGTTGCCTATTTTGGAATTGCCAAGGGCTGGGGGGTCCCTTGACAATTCACGAGCTCGGAGCGCTGCTCTAGAAACATAACCCTTCACTCGTGTTTCTTTCGGAAACGAAAGCTACACTTAGGTTGATTGAGAGACTCAAACAGACATGGAACTACAATGGAGTGGATGTTGAGAGGGATGATAGGGTAGGTGTGCTTGCATTGTTATGGTCTAAGGAGGTTGATGTATCATTATTATCCTTCTCCCAGAATCATATTGACGTGACGGTTCAAAACGTGTTCTCAGATATTAAATGGAGGTGCACGGGCTTCTATGGTTTTGCTGAGTTTAACAGACGAAAGGAATCGTGGGTGCGTATCAGGCAACTGAGGGCTCAGATGGACATGTCGTGGCTCATTGGTGGTGATTTCAATGAAATCGCATGTCACACGGAAAAAATAGGTGGAAATGACAGATTATCGGGTCAGATTCAGGGTTTTCGGGATTGCCTTATTGAGTGTGGACTTTCAAATTTGGGTTTCGTTGGATATCCGTTTACGTGGTCTAACAACCGTGAGCACCCGTTCATGGTAAGATCTCGACTTGATCGGTTCTGTGCTAACGTCGAGTGGATGAATATTTTTCCAGCCCCCTTGTGGTCACACTTGCAATCGACGGGGTCAGATCACGCCCCTATTCTTCTCACCACAAAACACGTGGACCACGTGGAGACTCACACCAGAAGAAGGCCGTTCCGATTTGAATCCATGTGGGTCAGACGTGAGGAATGTGAAAAGGTGGTAAGGCAAGCTTGGCTCACTGAGGAAGGTGAGAACCCGGTTGAGAGAGTATTACACCGGACTAGTGGGTGTCGGGCTGCACTCATCTAGTGGAGCAAAATGGCAATCCGAAACCCGAATAAGCAGATTGCGGAAATAAAAGAGCAGATTCATTTCCTTTACACGGGGGTTCAGACTTCGTAATCAAAGTTAGCTATTGGCGAGCTCAAGGCTAGATTGGAGCAGCTCTATAGTGACAATGATGAGTACAAGAGACAACTCAGTAGGGTGCAATGGATGCAAAAAGGTGATAGAAATACTACATTCTTTCATGCTCGGGCTACTAAAAGGAAACGGGTCAACAGGGTTGATAAATTGAAAGATAAGCATGGGATCTGGCAAAACAATGAGGGTCGTATTTCGAGTATTGTTGCGGATTATTTTAAGGAAATCTTCCACACGAAAAATCCCAATGAGAATGAGATTGATGAAATTCTGGATCAGATGCAGGCGAGGGTGACTCTGGAGGAAGCACAAGCACTTTCCATTCCTTTCTCGGAGTCTGAGGTAACACATGCTCTCAGTAATATGGCCCCCTTGAAATCACCGGGACCCGAAGGGCTTTCGGTGCTATTTTTTTTACCAAATACTGGCACTTTATTGGTTCTTCTGTGACCGCATGTGTGCTTGATTATGAATAATAAAAACTTGCCCCCTCGCTTAATTATACTTTTATCGTGCTCATTCCTAAAATTATCCGTCCGGAAAAAAATCACAGATTATAGTCCCATTAGCTTGTGCAATAAAATCTATAAAATTGGCTCCAAAATCATTGTTAACCGTCTCAGGAGCATTCCTAATAAGCTAGTTTCTCCTACTCAATCAGCGTTTGTTCCTCACCGCCTCATACACTAGGCCAAAATGCAAGACTGGCGACGATTTTTTGGCGACGATTACAAAAAACGTCGCGAACTCGCGACGAATGGTAACCAAAACCGTCGCTTGATGACTCAAAATCCGGTTTAGTTGAAAACGCTTGCGACGTTTCTAAAAATCGTCGCTACCCAGCGACTAAAATAGAGAAAACGTAGCAAAGATGAAAATAAAAAATAAAAAGTCCTTGGTATGCGACGAAATGGTGTATACGTCGCATGAATTATTTATTTTGTATTTTTATATTTGCACAATAGCGACAAAACGATGTAGTACGTCGCCAATCATCCTGATAAAAAGAATGATAATTTTTAGCGACAAATTAAATAAACGTCGCGACATAAAGGTCAAAATTATTAAATAATAATAATTATATGCGACGAAAATGACAGAAACGTCGCTAGACAATTAATAATATTTTTTTTACACTTTCGTTTCAAAAGAAGAGTCTATAAACGTCACCATATTTAACTTTTAATTAAAAAATAAGCCTTTTTTGCGACGTTTTTTCTAAAAACGTCGCAATATGATACTCGAAATTTTTCCCCCGCTATGTTGCGATGGATGTTGGAAAACCGTCGCTAGTGAATTTTGATTTTTTGTGGGTTCGGTTTTTGCGTGCGACGAAACGGTAGAAAACGTCGCATGAGTTTATATTTATTTGTTTTTCAATCAGACCCTAATTTTAACTTTCCCTTCTCCGCCTCTCTTGGTCTTCTCTGTCTTTCTCTCTATCTCTCACTCTCCTTTTCGATTTTTGCTCCTCGGTGCCCACTTCTCCGTCCTCCCTCCAACATCGTTCATCCGGCGACCGTCGTTCTCTCCCGTCAGCCGTCTTCCTCTATCCGCCGTTGTCATCTCTTTCAGCCTTTGTATGCCGCTGTCCTCTCCGTCCTCCTTTGTCCACCGCCGCCTTCCTCCCCAGGGCTTCATTCCTCTGCCGCCGTCCGCCGCTCTCCATCTTTAAGGCATCACCCTCCTCTCTACCCATCTCTACAGCCGCACAATTGAAGGTTATCTTTCTTATTTGTCTTTTTTTGGTACAATTTTGTAATCAAAACCCCCACAAACAAGTTTCAGGGTTCTACAATTGGGCACAAAAATATTAGTCTGAAAACGAAAATTGTTTTAGAGAAGGCTCAACCAATGAGATCCTTTTTATATAACAGATAATGTTCTGGTCGCCTATGAAATAAATCATTATATTAAAACAAAGGCTGGAAATAAGGAGAATTTTATGGCTATTAAACTTGATATAAGCAAGGCTTATGATCGCATTGAATGGGTTTTTCTGAAAAAAGTGCTTGCTTGTTTTGGATTTCCTGCTGATTTCGTTGATCTTATTATGCTATGCGTAACTTCTGTCTCCAACTCTTTCTTGTTTAACGGTTCACAGTTTGGTAGCGTTACTCCAACACGTGGCCTTTGACAAGGAGACCCGCTTTCTCCGTACTTGTTTATATTTTGTGCAGAGATCCTTATAGGTATGATTCATCGTGCAGTGGCAGATGGTCAGTTGCATGGTGTTCAAATTGCCCCGAGTGCCCCGATGGTTACTAATTTGTGTTTTGCGGATGACACATTACTTTTTTGCCGGGCCGATGTGGATGATGCAATAAGATTGGGCATACTTTTGAGCAAATTTGCACAAATTTCTGGCCAGGAAATTAATATGGAAAAGACCACCATGTGTTTTAGCCCTACGACTCCTTCTCATACCCGTGAGGCCATCTACGAGACGTTGAGATTCCAGATTGTAGATGGCCATGACAAATACCTAGGCATGCCAGCATCGCTAGGAAAATCCCGCAAAGACGTTTTTCGTTTCTTGCGGGATCTGTTGTGGGGCAAAATTCGAGGCTGGGGTGACAGACATTTGTCTCAGGCGGGAAAAGACGTAATGGTGAAGGCAGTGTTACAATCGATTCCATCTTATCTAATGTCTTGTTTTGCACTCCCAGTTGGTATTCTTAAAGACCTTGAATCAACCATTCGGCGGTTCTTGTGGGGTGATCGGTCAGAGCGGAGATTAGCTTGGGTTTCTTGGGATCGTTTATGCCGACCCAAATCAGAAGGTGGCATGGGCTTCCGGAATCTTGAGATCTTCAATTTCTCCCTCCTTGCAAAGCAACTCTGGAGGGTGATTACAGAACCCGATCGCCTTCTATCCCAACTACTGAGGGCCAGGTATTTTCCACATGGTGATGTGTTTCGTGCGGAACTTGGTGCCCGCCCCTCGGCGACTTGGAGAAGCCTTTACAAGGCTCGTCCACTTCTCGAGTTGGGCGCAAGAGTCCGGATTGGCGACGGGTTATCAACGGCTATTTGGGGGGACCCATAGTTAAGAGATGATGGCAATTTTCGCATATGGACCAAAAGACCGATGTCGACTAGCTTCCCAAATCGAGTTGCGGATTTGATCGACCCATCTCAGTCAACCTAGAATATGGAACTTATCGACAACACATTCTGGCCGTGTGATAGGGTGCGGATTTACTCCATTCCAATAGGCGCTCGCACAGTTCCAGATATGTGGGTTTGGCACCACACAAAGAACGGTAAATTCTCTGTCAAATCTTGTTATCATATTGCTTTTAAATCCAGACTTTCCGACCACTCGACTAGCGGCTATGCCGGGGCTCAAAGTGGTAGCACACAACATAAATGGAAGTTTATTTGGGAGCTGAACCTGCCTCCTAAGATTCGGCATTTTATTGGGCGAGCAAGCTCCGACATCATTCCTACTAGAGCTGTTCCTTGCGGAAAATTGCTCCTAACTCACAATGCTTTCGATGTGGGCATATGGTGGAATCAACGCTCCATGTTTTTCAAGCTTGTGGGGGCGCTGCGAGATTATGGCAGTCCCATCCATTTTATCTTAAACTCCTTCCTCCCGATTCCACGGTTTGGCAATGGATTGACGTGTTGCGCAAAACTCTAACTGAAGACCTCTTCTTACTCGCGCTCACAATTGCATGGCGGCTTTGGGGTATTCGGAATGACATTCTTCATGGAAACGATGGAACGTCCATTGATGATGTGCTTAGTTGGAGCCAGATGTATCTTAATGAGTTTCACGCCGCTCGGATTTTGGCACGTAATACTCATACTCCATCGCTTCCGGATGCTTGGAGGGGTTGGCTGAAAATTAATGTTGACGCTGCTCTTCCTCCAGGACAGCAGTTCTTCATTGTTGCACTAGTGGCTCGGGACGAAAACGGTTTATGTGTGAGATAGGCGACTCGACAGGTGCATGGGCGACCAAATGCGGAAGAATGCGAAGCTTTTGCTGCTCTCTTCGCACTTCAATATGCTAAGCTTCAAGGATGGAGGTCGATTGTGGTGGAAGGCGATTGCTTGACAGTAATCAATGCTCTTAAGGCTAATGTTGCTTCTTCAGCTCCTATAGGAGTGTTCGTAGCTGATTGTTTCTCCCTTATTAGCTCGTTTGATTCTTGCGATTTTTCCTTTGTTAGACGTTCTGGTAATTCTTTGGCTCATTGTCTTGCTACTCGTTTTGATTTAAGTTGTACGGAAGGATCTAGCCTCCCCTCTAATTTGGCTAATTATGCCTAATATTATCTTCGTTTCTCAAAAAAAAATTACATTACCTAAAAAGACTAGCTCAAATGGACTAACATACCATTTATAAATATTTGGGCAAATTGCACTTCACCCACCAAAAAAATATTTTTTTGCACTTTCCCCCTTCAAAATACAAACATAAGACTGTCCCCCTTCAAATGTGTATTCGGGGCAAAGTGCACCGAGTTGTATATTAAGAAGGCGAAGTGCAATTTGCCATAATAATTTAAACTATATATAATATTTAAAACTATTGAGTTATATAAAATTCATAAATCTAATTGATAAATTCCAAGATTCGATAGTCTTAGCACTTTGTGATGTCTCAATTGTGATCAACAAGTGATCTTCGTCGTTAAACCCAAGAAATTAAGATTATGAATACAAGGTACGGAACGATTCTTTTTTGTCTTATTTTTTCTTCTTCCTTTTTATTTTATATCTAAAGAATATTTTGCAAAAGCCAAAAAACGAGCACCTAAGATTTGACCAAACAAATAAGTACTTTTTTAACACTCTTAGTAGTTGTAATATTTAATTCATTGGCTGCAAAACCATATACTCCAGCCCCATTATATTTGCTAGTAACCATCGATTAGTTATGATAAAGTAAAAAGAATACAAAATTTAAATAATTATATATTTAATTTTCATTTCAAATAAAATATTGATCAATTTTCAAATTCTATATATATAAGTCCTTGGGACAAGATAGTATCACACCATAACTCTAAACTTAAACTCTATACTTCTCACATAAATTCAAGATTTTTTTTCTTTCAACCCTAAATATAAGAAAAAAAAGAGAAAAAATGGAAGAGAGGAAGAAGATGAAGTTGAAGAAAGGTTGGTTAGTAGTGCAAGTGGGATTATCAGAAATTTGTAATGACGAAAATCAAAATTTTTGTGGGTTTCAGAGATTCTATGTTCCAATCTCGTATTTATATAATCCCCTTTTCCAGAAGCTTCTAGAAGAAGCTTCGGAAATTTATGGCTATCAAACAACGGGCCCACTAATGTTGCCGTGTTCCGTTGAGGAGTTTCTTCTTCTCCGGTGGCGGATCGAAAAAGTTGTCACCAGCATGTAGTCACGGTTCTTTGTTTTGATATATGAATATATTTTTGTATCTCTTTTTTTTTTCATCACTTGATTAGAGGTGATAAACATGGCTCTAATTTAGAGGCCATGGATGTAAATCTTCCATTTGATATATAAAGTTTTATTTAAATTACTTGTTCTTCTTATCGATTTAACATCTTTGTCATGTAACAATCAATCTAAATCCTATAAATTAATAATTATTAATTGAGGATTAATATTCTGTCAAACTAAGGTAATTAATTCTGCAGTCCAAACTTCAATGATTTATAGAAGTTTAAAGGTATAAAATTGAAAAAAAAGAAAGAGAAGTATATATGATAATTAAATTGTAGTCTAAAAAATTACATAAATATTACAATAATTAGTTGTGAAATTTAAATTACTAAAATAGCATAAAAAAGTTAAACTAGGCAAGGCAAAATAATACTAAAAGAAAATCCACGTTGGTGTGTGAGTGAGAAGGGGAAACTTTGCTTTGTTCTTCCGATTATTAAAATAAGAAAATTCCACGTATGGTTTGCAAGCTATTATACGAGAGTGTAGGTTTACCCAGTGCACCTATATGGTTGGCTGCGGGTTCCTGCATTACCAAAAAAAAAAAAAAAAAAAAAAAAAGATTTACAAAGAAATGCAAAACTTAAAAAACAAAAGAAAAAATAAAAAATGGAAAATAGACTATCCGAGTAAAAAAGGCTGGAAAATAGAAGATGAAAGATTTTTTTTTTTTAAACATGTCATTAAGATTTCTTAATTTTTTATATAAAGATTAGTTACCTATTTACTTTTTTGCTCGTGATTTCTTTTTTTATCAAACATAAAAATTGCGCTAAGCATATCTAGATTTTTCTAAAGATGCATCTTTAATTTGATTGAATGTTTTGATTTTAATGAGAGTAATTTTTAGCAAGATCTTGAAATGAGTCTATATTATCCATAATAAATTTATTGAAATTAAAAAAAATGATTTAAAATATATTTTATATTGAGACAAGATAAAATAGCATGTTGATAGCATAATGCGTATCACAAGTTCGTCGAGAAGTTAGATGCTACGCCTGGTTATTTACACCGAGTGAATTTGAATCGTAAATTTGATTAGATAATTATACACTAAGTACATATATAAATTGGTGTGTGTGTGATTATGTGTAGATCTATGATTTGAAATCCATCCAATATAAACAATCAAGTGTAGCATCAAATTTCTCCGAGTTCGTCTCTGAACCAATTAATATCTTCCAAAAAAAATCAATATTATAATAAATTCATCCAAATATTTTTAATTGAATCCATCCAAACATTACACAAGAGGTTATTTTTTCACAGAAACCCCAAAACACATTGTTTATAACAATATGAATCTTTCAACTCTCAAGATTCTTTTTCTTGTTAATCTTGAACAAATACAAATAATTAGTATTTTATCAAACTTAGTGGTTGTAATTTAAGTTAATTGGCTACAAATCCAAGTACTTCTTGTACTTAAAGAAAATTAATATTCTATAAACTTTGTCTTTATGTCAATATTCCATACAATGAAGAGCAAGTCTTACGATGTGTGAGTGTGTGTGTGTGTCTATATATATATATATATATATATATATATATATATATATATATATATATATATATATATATATATATATATATATTAATATTGGATTTTTTTTTTCAAGTTTGTAGTCTAATTAGTACTCTGCAATATGCCATATTGTTACCTGTCACATGAACATATAAAACAAAAAATACAACCTCAAAGTTCCAAGATTTATTCTTAGAATTTATCCAAAAAACACTGAAATACTTAGTTCCAAGAATCCAAAATCTGTTAGGTATATTGTTCCTGCATTTCCAAGAAAATATTCTATCTACTTCTATATATATATATATATATATATATATATATATATATGCTCACTATCGATCATCTAAGAAACACATATCTACTTCTATAACACTATACCACAAACACTTCATTTTCTTTCCAAAGTATATATTATACATTAATATATATATAGTGATCATGATAATAATGAGGATACAAATGAAGCAAGAGGAGAAAAAGATGAAGGTCAAGAAAGGGTGGGTGGTGGTCCAAGTTGGATTAGGTGGAACAATTAATGACGAAAATCAAGATTGTAGTTGTAATGAATTGACGAGATTTGTGATCCCGATTTCATACTTGTATAATCCCTTGTTTGAAAGACTTCTTGATAAAGCTCGTGAGGCCTATGGCTATCATGCACCTGGACCTCTTGTGCTACCTTGTTCGATCGATGATTTTCTTCATATTCAGACGAGAATCGAAACTAGTACTAAACAACGTGGCTTTCGTCATCTGAGATACCGAAACAAGTTACAAGCTGTAAATTAACATAGATAAGTGTATATTATTATTATACGATCATATTGGTTATATCTTTGCTTAATTAAAACTTACTTAATATTACACTCGTGAATGTGTTAAAAATTAAATGTCTCTTGCAACTATTTTTAGTTAGAATACGTACATCCCTTTAATGTTTTAGTGTCACATGAATACCATTAGTTGATACATCTATTGATATACGAACTTTATGATAAAATTACTCCAACCACTTCAACACATCGAGTTCGTAAATTTGAAACCTTAATTTTTCTTTTTAATTGTGGCTAGGTGTTGTTGACCGTGATGTTGTCCTTTGGGATGATAATATGGAAGATGATACGATATGAGCTTTTTACAAAAGGAAGCCCATGAGAAAGTCCATGGAATCCCTAAAAGACCTGCAAAAAGAAGTACCGGGAGAAATCTCCCGACGTTAGCACTCCGCCAATTAAATCAGCAGGGATAACGAATAATAGTATGTGTAGAGAATAGAGTAAAACTTAATTCATGATACTTCTTTCCTTGGGTGTCAAGGTTGTATTTAACTCAGGAGTATGGTGGTAGGGCCCTTCTCTGACCTTGGTCATACCCACACGTGGGTGTGATGTGATTTCCCCGAGCTGCATTGCTATTAAAAGCGAGCTCTTTATCTTGAGCAGTCTGAGTCAGTATAGATGTGGAGGGTTCGTGTGTGTGCTCGCCTTCAACTCTAGATGCTAAGTGGGCCCTTCTTCGGTCCACGTCAAGGTGATTTCCGCCTGTGTCCTGCTGAAACGTAGTCAAATCCGTCAATTATCTACTCCAAGTGGGAGGAGGCCTATGGGATCTGAATAAGCAGTCATGTAGTGGCTTTGTGCCATATTTGGGCCGTGTTACAATATGTTTTTTATGGGTTGGGATTTCGAGAATTTCGGCCCGTATCAGACCGATACTATGGTGTTCTTATTATGTTGTTGGTCGGCTATGACAATTTTTGTTTTTAATTGTCGACTATTATGTATTGCACCGATACTATAACATGTCCTTATTGTGATGTGACCGGCGTTGGAAGATCA